TGGATATATTCCCAGACATGGTATTGCTGAATCAGATAGTAATTCCATTTTTAACTTTATAAAGATTCTCCAAACTGTTCTCCATAGTGGCTCTACCAATTTACAGTTTCACCAAGAATGTGCAAGGATTCCCTTTTTTCCACATCCATGCCAGCATTTGTTATCTCTTGTTTTTCTTTTGATGAAGGCCATTCTAGCAGGTGTGAGGGGATATCTCACATTTTGATATAAAATATAAGATATAAAATCATTGTGATTGTAATATGCATGTCACTAATGACTAATGATATTGGGCATCTTGTCATATATCTGTTGGTCTTTGATATAATTTCTTTGCATGTATGTCTTTGCATTGTCTTTTTGGTGTTGAGCTGTATGAGTTATTTATATATTTTGGATATTAACCTCTTAGTGGATATATCATTTGTAAGTATCTTCTCCCATCCAAGGTAGTTGCCTTTTTGTTTTGTCAGTGGTTTCTTTTGGTGGGCAAAGCTTTTTAGTTTGATTAAGTCCCAGTTGTTCATTTTTATTTTTGTTGTCCTTGTCTAAAGAGACATATCCAAAAAAATACTGCTGAGACCAGTGTTCAAGAGTTTACTGTTTCAGTTTTAAGGTTTCAGGTTTTGCATTTAGGCCTTTAATCCATTTATCTTATTTTTGTATGTAGTGTAAGAAAGTGGTTCAGTTTTGCATGTAGCTGCCCAGTTTTCCAAACACCATTTATTGCAGAAGCTGTCTTTTCCCCATTGTATATTCTTGCTTCCTTTGTCATAGAAAATTGGCTATGTAAGTATGGATTTATTTCTGGGCTCTCTATTCTATTCCATTGATTTGTGTGTCTCCTTTTGTGCTAGTACCATACTGTTTTGATTAGTATAATTTTGTAGTATAGTTTGAAATTTGGGAGTGTGATACCTCTAGCCTCATTCCTCTTAAGATTGCTGTGACTGCTCAGGGTCTTTTGTGGTTCCATGCAAATTTTAGGATTATTTGTTCTCGTTATGTGAAAAAATGCTATTCGTATTTTGTTAGGGATTGCATTTAATCTCTAGACTGCTTTGGGTAATATGGACATTTAATAAATACTAATTCTTCCATTCCATGAGCGTGGTATATTTATTTGTGTTATCTTCATTTTCTTCCATCAGTGTCTTACATTTTCAATGTATATGTCTTTCAATTCTTTGCTTAAATCTATTCCTAGGTATTTTACTCTTTTCAAAATAATTGTAAATGGGATTGTTTCTTAATTTCCCTTTTGGTAGTTCATTATTAGTATACAAAATGCAACAGATTTCTGTATATTAATTTTGTACCCTGCAACTTTACTGAATTCATTATTTTAATAGTTTTTTGGTGGAGTTTTTAGTGTTTTCTATATATAATATTATGTCATCTGCAAATAGTGACAGTTTTGCTTCTTTACCAGTGTGGATGCCTCTTCTGTATTTTTTAGTATGTCACTAATCTCATTAATTCAGTTCATTTTATCCAGTGTACTTTTCATTTCATAAACTTTTTTCTTCTTAGTTCTATTTTTTTTAAATGTCCATTTCTTTCCTCATTGTATTTATATTTTCATTAGTCTTCTGAGCATATGGAGCATATTTATAATTGTTGTTTTAATATCCTTATCTGCTAATTCCGTCATTTCTCTCCATGTCTAGATCTGTTTCTATTGACTGATTTTTCTCCTGCTTATCAATCATTATTTTTCTGCTTCTTTGACTACCTGGTAATTTTTTAATTGGATTTTGTATGTTGTGATTTTAATGTTGTGAGTACTAGGCTTTGTTCTGTTTCTTTATATAATAATTGGACTTTTTTCTGGAATGTAGTTATGTGGAATCCATTTCATCCTTTCAAGTGTTGCTTTAAGGGGGGTTGTTAAGGCAGGTTGAGAACAACCTTTAATATAGGCTAATTTGGCCCCATTACTAATGTAGCTCCCATCTGCAGATGCTACCTGATAACCCATGTAGGAGTAAACCTTCTCACTGTCACTGGTGGAAACACAAATTATTTTATTTGAGGAGCTCTCTTTGAGTTCCACAATTTCTTCTCTTTTCCAATGATTCTTTGCCCCCAGCCCTGGGTAGTTTCTTCTTCCATATGTGCAGATCTCTGCTCAGCAAAAAATGTAAGAAGACCCCTCTACAGACCTCTGGAGTTCCCTGTCAAATTCCCTCCTCTGCAGCACTCTGTGCCACAAATTCTAAGTGCATTGGCTTTTCCAAATGCTGATCTTGATGTCTTCAGCTTGGCAAGGCTTTTGGGTTCTATTTAGGTTCCTCCTCCCTGTCCTGCAGGCTGGAAACTTCTCCATGCAGTAAGCTGAGGTAATTGTAGGGCCCGCCTTGTTTGTTTTCCTTCTTCAGGGATCACAGTTCTGTATGCCTGTCATCTAAAGTCTGATAACTGTTGTTTCATGTGTTTTTTCCAGTTTTCTATCATTTAAGGTAGGAAGGTAAATTATGGCATGATACTCCATCATGGCTAAAGGAAGAAGGCTCACTGAGATGTTCTTGATAAGAGGACACATTTAATTCCCTATGGCATTAATTTACTACTATGAAGTCCACTGAATAGGAAGACCTCCACAGGAGCTGCCCGAAACCATAAATGTTACCATATTTTGAACTGTTTTTTTCATTTAAAAACAAAATGTGTGTGTGTATGTGTGTATGTAATTACTAATATTAAAGAAAAAGCAAGATTAAAAAAATTAGAGTTACAATCTCTCCTTTCCAGTACTACCATTGTTCTCATATCTGTGTAATAGCCAGCACATATGCAGTTTTGCATAGTTGTAATCATGTTATCCTTCTATTCTGTGTTTTTAAAAATACATGTATCATAAAATACATTTTCCTATTTTTTTTGGTAGTTTTCCTAAGTCTTTTTTGCATATGTGGGTTTAGTTTATGTAGCCATTCTTTCCATCAAAATTATGGTTGTTCCAGTTTTTGCTATTAGTTAAGTGTCTTTTTTTAGTGGCTGGTTGGTATGTTACTTTTGTGTACCGTAATTTACTACATAAATGATTATCTAAGCTTGAGGCTTTTAGTGAATTTTGAAATAATTTTGTGTTTAAATTTGGTATCTTAGAGAAGAATGTAAAAGCCTATGGTGTTTCCAAAGGAAATGCAGTGATTAGGTCATCTGGGTACCTACTCACTAAGGAACAGAGCTGACAGGATGTTACAGAGAAATAATCCATGGACAAGGTTAAATACCTCTCTGAGGAAAGGAGGAGAAAATTCAGCTCAATTCCATAAATGTTTAGGCTCCCACCTTCTGAGAATTTATGATCTAGTGGAGGATCTAGTGAAAAATGCATTTAAATAGTTCTCACAATTGAGTTGAAAAAGATATGTCTGACTTGTTGAAACAGTTTTGTTCATTATGTGAATAAATTTCCACATACATTGGGTGAAACCTGAGTTCAGACGGTAGAGCTCTAACTTGGAACTATTCCAAGTACCCCTGTGCTAAAGCTCATAAATTAGAAAAGCAATGTTTTATTAATGCTTCCATCTTCTCTTTCATAAAATTGCATGGATATGTAAAAATGAGATATTGCTAGAACAGATGCAGAGCAGCCAGATGAGTTTTCTTTCCCTATTACATAGGCCCTCCCTCTGCAGAGCTGCTGTTTCTACTCATCTTGCTAGAGGCATACTGGTGAGGAGTAGTTAGTGACCATACTCAAATAAAAAGTGCAAATTAGTTACACATTTCCTAATTAGGCTCTACTTTACTTCCTTTTGGAAAGTCTCAGGTATATTCATTTGTTTGATGTTTGAGAGATAGTCTGTTTAAATTAAAAATAGCTAATACTTAGATAGCATTTCCTATGTGATAGGCACTGCTCTATGACTTAATATATATTAATTTATTTAGTTTTCATAATAATCTTTTTATGTAAGTATTGCTATTATTCCCTGGTAAGTGGCAGGGGCTGGACTGACAGTTGACTTTGGAATTCTTACTCATAACCACTCACTATGTAAGTACATGTTCTAGAGTCATTCCCTCCAGATTCAAATTCTAGCACCATTACTTACAACTGTGTGAATGACCTTGATCAGTGACTTGTCTCTAAATCTCAGCTTCTGCTGTATTGCATATAACCTAACTTTGTCCAGTTCCTGGCACATAGTAAATGCTCTGTATTTACCTCTTATTTGTTATTTGTTCATTAAAAACATGTATTTGGAGTGCCCAACATGTGTTTGCTCTTTCAAGGAGCATTTGTACTGCTTTGTCTCTTTTCTAAAATGGTACTATAATGTGTTGTGCTGAAACTCATAGCTGAAAGAAGATGTTCTATATTTCCATTGTCTTTTCTCCTGTGGGTAAGTTTTGGAAAAGAGGTAGAATTTAGTTAGAGAAGGGAAGAATATTCCTGTTAGTTCATGTTGCAGGTAACAGTTAAATCAGAGGAGCTAAAATAAGTTACTCCTTTATTGAAACATGACTATTCTCTAACTGGCAAGGTTATTTGTCCTGTCGACCCAGCTTAGACCTTTAGGAGAAAGAGATATATGGAGCAAGAAGGGACATTTACCCAGCCGGTCAAAGCCACTAAATCAGCATGAAATTAGCCCCAGCCATAAGAGAAGTGATAAATGTGGCAGCCAGGTTACCCTCACATCACCATTCCAGTGTAGTTTTAAATAAATGCAAAAACTAAGCAAGGAAACATTAGCAGGGAATAGAGGGAGGAGAACCCAAGGCAGAGGAGTAGTAGATATTTTGATAGAAACAGCAAGAAAAAGAGGAAATGGATAGGAAAAGAGGAAAAAAAATTCTGGTGTAAGTAGTTGAGAATAAGCCCTTACATTTTTCTCTAGGATGAGGATGTTTTAAACAGAAGTTTGGCACAGGCTCTGTTTGGTTATTCTCATAGTGCTATTCTGAAGATGTGTCTTCATTCGTCGTATTTGTATTTTATACTGGAGTCTGACAGAACTTTGCTCTTTCTTTCTTTGTAGTCCTGAGACTCTCTACCAATGCAGGCCAGTGGAAAGAAGCAGCTAGCAAGGTGACTCATGCATTGGTTAATATCAGGTAAGCAATGAGAATTTCTCTTTCAGAATTCCTTGGCTTATCCTGAGGTTTATTGTACCTTTCTAAGTGGAGTGTGTTGAATATGACTATTTTAAGCCCTTATGTCTGTAGGAGTAGAAGAAATTGTACGTGATCAAGAAAAGCAGGAGTGCATGAGACTTTCATTTTGTCATATTGAAGTAGCTCATGGTGCTGTTCTGTTAATTTTCTTATCAAGAGATGTTTGCAAGCCCTTTTCAGGCATCTTTGTTGCCAAAGTGTTTTCCATATAGGCCATCTGAAAGCTTTTCTTTGAAAAATTTTCTGCTTTTCTCTATGAGCTCAGTGAATGACTTGTGGAGATCTGAACTTTGATGTTTTGCTTTACATGGCTATTTCTATTTGTAGTAAACAGAGGCAAATGGTGCTCATGGGGCTAAGTCATTTTAGGTTCCTTATGAGACAGCAAGGCAATTACAGAGTGCTGTTATGTATTGGATAAAATTGAGTCAGACATGGAGTTGATTTAGGCCCTTTAGGAAATATCACACACTCAGAAGAGTGAGCTATTTATAAATGGAGAAAATGTTCTTTCAGTATTATGAAGCCTAAAGCTGACTTTTCTTACATTCCTTACTACCTTTGTGCCTATCATTTTCAACTTCTCAACAGTTATTATATTGTTCTTGCAAACAATTGAAAAATTAACATTGAGTAGAAGAGGCAAACCCAGCAGATGGGGAAACTTGATTTAGCTACAGATAGAAGCTTTGCCAGGCATTCCCAGTAATAGTAACACACATTTACAACTTCGTATAGATTGTAATGTGTGACAGAGTTGGGATTCAGTGTTTGTTTCTGTATCTTTTCTTTTTTTAAAAAAATATTTAAGGTAAAATGTTCTGTTCCTCCAGTGATTCACTATATTGTTTGGCACGTCTGGGAGCAAAAGAAAAGTGTGAAATGTGTGTAATTGGAGGGCTGGGATGAGGGAACATGGGGATGAGATGTGCTAACAAGATTGCATTGAAGGTTGATCTGCCTTACCTGACCCCAGAGACATTTTGCAGCAAATATAATTTTATCTTACAAATAAATGCTGTCTGTACCTATCAAATAAACCAGATACTGTAGTATAAGGTCTTATGATAAATGTGATTTTTCTGTAAGAATCAAAATTACAAATTGCCTTCTCCCAAATATCCCTTTGTGACCCCAAGGGTAGTATCACACATGTGGGTGTTTGAAAGAAGCACCAGATTCTGGGCTAGAGTCTGAAGTGCATATGGGTGTAATTTATGTTGTGTTTATTTATTCATGTAATTACATAGACTTTCTAGGCAGCTCCTTTTCATCTGGGGCCTGTTTCCTTGATCATGTTCCTTTGTGCTTTCTTTATCTTCTACTTTGTTATCTTTCCTTTCAGTGACTTCTGGCTTAGTTTCTGTCATTATTCCCAAGGGCCATCAAACAGCTGATTTAAGTTCCTGGCCTGTCCTTTTTCTGAACAGCTCAGAAAGTACTGAACTGATTTGAGTAGATGCCTGATAACCATGACCTCTTCCTTCTCTTTGCAAGTCTCTGTCAGGCCTATACCTTCATTTTTATTCCTCAGACTTCTTTGATGAACTGCTGCAGAGAATAATTACATCATCTTCACTGTTGCTAATGAATTAGACAAGGAGTATATGTCAAAAGTATCAAAGATCCAGTCAGTTTTCTTAAGAGTTTATTGAACAGATGTGTTTGAATGTCACTTATCACACTAAAGCCAGATTGAGAAAATATTGGTGATGCTAAGCCTGCAAAAATTTTACTTTTTTTTTTCCTTTCAGACATTTATTTTCACTTAGTAAGTACTAAACTTTGTGCTATTTTTTCATATACTGTCTTTGTCAATCATCAAATTCTACAAAGTAGTATATTTTAAACTTTAAGAAAGTATACTTATTACCAATGAAGAAACTGAGTCTTAAAGATATTGTGAATTGTAGAAAGTCTCATAATTGTTGCATGGCAAAGTAGAGAATTAATCAGAGGTCTTCTAACTCCCAAGTCCAAGGCTCACTCTTCTATACCATAATGCTTCCTTCTCTAGAGCTGCATCAAAAGCTACCTTAGAGGTAAACAGAAAACTCAGAATGATATATTGAAAGAAGCATGGAAATTTGAGTTAGGGAAACTAGATTTTTTGTTTTTGTCTCTACCACTTAAGGTGTGACCTTGAGCAAATCATTTAGTTTCTCTGGACCTCTTTCCACTATCTATAAAATAGAGGTAATGATGATATTAACTGTTCAACAGGGAAGTGGTTGTGAAATTTTTATAATGTAATATATGTGAAAGCACTTAGTAAACTATAAAATATTTGTCATTTCACTTAGCATAATGTCTTTAAAATTCATCTCTGTGGTAACATGTGTCGATGTCCTTCCATTTTAGGCTTCTATTGTATGTATATGCCAGTACTGTTTATCCATTTATCCATTGTTGAAACCCCAAATGGGTTGCTTCCACCTTTTGGTTATTGTGTTTTAGGATATTTGTACCTGATATATGTACCAAGTAAACATGTTCAGTCCCTGCTTTTCCTTTTTTTGAGACCCAGAAATGGAATTGGTGGATCGTATGGTAATTTTGTGTTTAATTTTTGAGGAATTATCATACCGTTTTTCAGGTTTAGTATTTTAGCCTTCCTTAGAATTTTTCCCAAGTATGTCTTCATTTGTCCTGTCTATGAAGGGTAACATGTTACCCTTAACCTTAAAAGAGACTTCTCTTCTCTTTGTAGGTAGACTTTGAATGAGGGTGGTCCAGGAAGTTTCCTTAAGAGTTAGTATTCTCTTAGCTGAGGGCAAAAAGGTGGTCTCCCAAAGAGATCTGCATCCCACTGAAGCAGCGGGAGTGAATGCTGCCTTATGCGTCTTTGCTTTTCTAAGGGCTTTGTTGTACTCCATGACACTATTGTTCATTTTGAGAGGTTTAGAAAACAAGAGACTGTGTCAGAAAATTGAACCTCTGGTTCTCTCTGGGATATTTAACTATTGACCACCGAGTTGATTATCAAGGTATATAAAGGCTTACCAGTAAAATTGTAATGGTATGCAACGTTTACTTCTATTGTTTATAAAGGTTATTTTGTGTGATCTCACACCTAGAAAGGATTTCTAAGGCAGAGTGAACAAATTTAGCCACCTCTCCTGTAAAGAGTTGGGTTGCATGTGCAATTTTCAGACTCCTAACAGCTGGGAGGGCCTCTGAGACTGGTTTGCCCATTGATGATGACTACGAATTATTTTTTTGGCATCTTCGGAATGCAGTGCATCTAATGGCAACCCTAACATAGTATCTCAGCAGCCGGTGAAAGGCATTGGGAAGCCTGCAGACCTTTCTGTTCATTGGAGTTTAGATGGTGACAGTGAAAATTCAAAGTACTTAACATGCTTGGAGACCTAAATTTGCTCAAGTGTCAATCTGCTTTTCACTTGTCTTTCTTGGCTTAGTCATCCTAGTTCTTTAATTGTCAAAGTTGTTTGTGTTTGGAGTTTTTCTCTCTCTTCCTGTTGATCCTTCAGAGAGATTCTTAAAATGCAGCTGCTTAGAAACTGCTATTTTTATTGAAACACCTGATGTCATTAACATATAGGGCCCTATGTTTGTTCTTCCCCATAGGAGGTCCATTGTTTTACCACAAGAAAAATACAGTATTATTGTTCCACCTTTAAAATTCTACTTATATGATTGTTACTTCAGCTGCCTTCTCAGATAGATCTGCTGGCCCACAAAGGAAAAATACTCTGAGGGGCCATTTGCAGGGCTGGAAGCAAAACATTTGGGAAGTCTTGCTTTGAGATTTCTATGCTAAAATTTCCTGCCACCATTTACCAGGCATGTCCTTAGCAATGAGGTCCTGTACAGGAAGATGTCTGCTGACTATTAACCTAATTAGTCAAAAGAGTAAAATATTAGTCAAATGTCAGACTAAAAAATCTGACCTTAGTATAACCAAACAACTTTCCAGGTAAGTAATAGATCCCTTCAAGTTAACATTTTAATACTTTTCACTTAATGAGCATTTTATTAGCACCAAGTTCACAGTCCTGTTACCTAGTTGCTCACGGAAATAGTGACTGAATCACTGCAAAGAGATTTTTCTTCTGATCTGTAATTTTCTTTCTCAGCAGCCACTTTATTTTTTTGAGATAACTGCAGCTCTATGATTAATATATATTTTCCCTTTATTTGGAATGCATTAAACTAAAGCTTAGTTTTTCTTTGAGAATGGCTTTTTAGGTATTATAATAGTTAGTGACAAGACTTGGTTTTGGAATGAGAATTTAGTGCATTTCTTTGTAAGTCTCTTAATTGTTCACCTAGTGAGTTTGCCTATTGTCCTCCTGTTTGCTCTGTGGTCTTTTCGTTCTAATGCAGAGGTGGTTACCACTCCTTCCTGCTTATGTAACTGTTTTCCTTTGCCCTAAAAGACACCACTTCTCTACCCGCTTCTCCACCCCACCTCCCAAAATGAAGGAAAGCTTTAAATGCACTCTGCTGGGAAGGCTAAGGAACAAGAATAGCTCTAAACAGCCTTTAGATAAAGGAGTTCATTGAGCATAACACCCTTTGGAGTAGGCGGTGTATAGAATTCTGAATATACAGAAAAAAAGTCCTTGGGCTGTAATCAAGGAACTTGCTGTTGATGGCCATAGAGTTAGGCTTGGGAAGGGAATGTGAGGTCTCAGCCAGGCAAAGTCCCCCCAGATTCCTTTGCCCATGACATGGCTACAAAATTTGTCTCCAGGTACAGTTCTTCCATCAGAACAGATACTGATGAATTGGGAGAAGTTTGACAGCAGGCACTTCAGCTGATGGATGCAACTTAGTCTAGTGAAAAGTAAATAAGGATTTAAGCGATTAATGTAGGAGCAGAGGCATTGGGTTGTTTCTTGAGTATCAAGCATTACATGAACTTAATCTTCCAGTCCAGATGTCCTCTAAAGTGGCAGGCTGTCTTAGATTAT